GTGTACTGTGCCCATAATGCATTCACATTTTCAGACAGACGTTGAGGGTACATTAGCTGGGAAGACTGGATGGGGAAACCCTCAGCTACATGGGCAGACTTCGCAAGATGATTTATCATTTCCCTCTGTGCATTACAGCGAGTCCCCCATGAGGCATGGTCAGCCTGTGGGCGTTTCCTCTGGGGAGGATCTGGGTATCTTCTGCAGCACTTTTTCTCAAAATTCCCCTCTTGACAGCGTCTCAGCAAGAGGATGGCCGCTTCTTTGTATCATGATGAAGAATTTGCAGGTACGTTTGCAAATGCCTTTTGCACACGTGAAGTGCTATAACATCAGGGAAGCTCACATAAAAACAAGCTATGGTACTCTCTCTTCCCTGTGACTGGTTTTTGTCTTCAAACAATTGTAAAAGAGGGCAATCAATACGCCTTGCCAGGGTCTTTTTAGTGCTTCCTGAACCATTATGGCCATAACGCCTCTTCAGGCTGCTGTGTCAATACATTTGAGATACTGAACATGTCCAAACCACATAAAATCTTTATTAAGGTGAAATTAAATGAGCAAGCCCAAAACAGTAACTTAAAAGGGTATTATCCTTCAAGGATGCTAGACCTAAATCTAGGGCATTCACAGTTAGGATTAAATTAATGAGCAACTCAAAGTTTTGCCACAGAGCCTGGGCAGGAGGAATTTAGGAGGACAGCAACTGCTGTTATGGTGCTCTGGACATCTGTCCTTTGGTGTTTATTGCAGGTTTGGCCTGAGCTAAAAAAGTGCATCAAATCTGGGGCAGGCAGGAGGAAAACAGTTAGTGGCATGTATGTTCAGTCTCCTTCTGCTCAGCAAAGGAACCCAGATTGAACAAAAGAAAAAAGCCACAAAGAATTTACTTATTTGCATATGGTCTGAGGTGATAGTGCATGGGACTGCATGAGGTGGCACCAGGATGCCCAGCACCCCGCGGGGAGGGCAGATGGGTTTTGCTGGGGAGGGAATGGAGACCCACTTTCCCCTGCCCAGTTGAATCAAAGCCAACAGCCTCCATCCGTTTCTGCCATATGCCTGATGCCTGTAGGACAGCACCTCCCTGCATCCCGCTGCGGATTCCCGGCACCCTCCCTGGTGATGCTCTCAGGTACCCGCAAAGCAGCAGCGGGTGTTCAGCTGCGACTCACTGTTCCCCAGCCACACGTGAGCAGCTGTGGCCCGGGGCTGCTGTGTGAAGGACAGGGATGGGAGCGGTAATTAATGCTCAGGAAAAAGGAGCAGATGCTGGGCTGGGAGAGCAGCCTGTCCCCAGGCAGCCTGCTCTTGGCGTGTGGTTTGTGAAGTCTGGCAGTGCAGAGAGACAGCCTGCTGCCCGCAGGGCCATCCTTGTGCTGCATTACCCCACCGGGGGATTTTCTTCTCCCGAACCCTCCCAAGCGCTTTCAGACCCCGTACAGACACACCAGGGCTGTGCTCACATGGAGAATGTGGCACACACAGGGCACTTTCATCTCAGTGCCTGACACCAGCCACTCTCCTCCTTGCATGGAGGCTGCAGCATATTTTCACCTGCCCAAAGGAGATCATCACAAGACAAGTGGGACACACAAGAGGTGCCAGGAGCCCAGGAAAGAAAAGCTACAGCTCACTCCCCACCCACCTTCCCAGTGCCCTTGGCTGTGGAGCCCAGCAGCACACAGCTCAACGCAGCAGCGAGGCGCTGGTGTTGCTGCGAGCTGGATGCGAGCCCCCAGGAGGGCTACATAGCTGGTGATCCACCCCAAGGCAGCCAGAAGGGTGGACATATGAGGCTGTTGGGACACAAGAACTGGGTCCAGGCTCTTCTCACAGGCAGTGTCAGGCACGTGGCAGCAGCACAAGTACATTGCTGCCTCTTCATCCAAATGTTTGGCATGGGGGGCAGGACGCAGATGGATTTGCCTGTGTTCGGTGCTTCACGAGAGCCTGGCATGGCTTGCTTTGCTCTGCTTCCTTGTGAGATCCTGTTTTGCAGTTCTGCAACGCTTGGGAAATGGGTGAGTTCAGTCTAGCCCATTCCCACTGCCCAGGGAGTGGCTGCAGATCATCTGTGGCTGTGCAGGACTGGGATGATTTGCCGCCCTTCGGAATCAGCCTGACAGGAGGGCTCAGCGAGTATCAGGGTTTCCATCCCCAGAGGGTGCCATTGCCCTGGTGACCCCTGCAAGCTACGGGGTAAATGTGACTGCGGGCTTGGAAGGAGGTGTTCACCCTCGGTACTGCCAAGTGGGTTGGTAACGGGTAGGACGGCCCCAGTTGGGCCCCACTGGCCTCTCCCCGCCAAGGGCACAGGCTCCCTCATGCCTGTAGCCTGTTTTCGAATGGCAGTGAAGGATTGCCACCCACATGGGTTTTCTGCTGGGGGGCTGGGAACTGGCATCCCTTCTTGGCATTGCTGTTGTGCTGCTTTCGCTTCAGCAGGTAGGATTCTATAGCTCGCCGGGAGGATTTCGCATTTCACAAAGAACTTCTTTTTCCAACACACCTTCTCAGCGGAAAGCTGAAAAATCGCTTGGTTCCAGCCTATTTAGTTTTAATTGTTTCCTTTAGTTCTCATTGCCCACAGCAAAACACGACCTTCCCCTAACAAACAGCCAGTCTGAGAGCCAGTCACCCCACGCAGCCACTGTCATCACTGCCACCTTGCTGTCCCTCCTGCCTGTCCCACCACTGCCAGGGGTCTTGTCTCTGCGGGACAGGG